CTCTTTTTGGTAGGGTGAGAGTGTAGGTTGGTTGAGAGTGTAGGTAGGGTGAGAGTGTAGGTTGGTTGAGAGTGTAGGTTGGTTGGTTGAGAGTGTAGGTTGGTTGAGAGTGTAGGTTGGTTGACAGTGTAGGTTGGTTGAGAGTGTAGGTTGGTTGGTTGAGAGTGTAGGTTGGTTGGTTGAGAGTGTAGGTTGGTTGAGAGTGTAGGTTGGTTGAGAGTGTAGGTTGGTTGAGAGTGTAGGTAGGTTGAGAGTGTAGGTTGGTTGGTTGAGAGTGTAGGTTGGTTGAGAGTGTAGGTTGGTTGGTTGAGAGTGTAGGTTGGTTGGTTGAGAGTGTAGGTTGGTTGAGAGTGTAGGTTGGTTGAGAGTGTAGGTTGGTTGAGAGTGTAGGTTGGTTGAGAGTGTAGGTAGGTTGAGAGTGTAGGTTGGTTGAGAGTGTAGGTTGGTTGAGAGTGTAGGTTGGTTGAGAGTGTAGGTTGGTTGAGAGTGTAGGTTGGTTGAGAGTGTAGGTTGGTTGAGAGTGTAGGTTGGTTGAGAGTGTAGGTTGGTTGGTTGAGAGTTAGTTGGTTGGCTATCGCTCGAGGTAGGCCTTGGGTCATTAGTTTCCTCATGGGACCCGTTCAACCAATCGGTCAACAAACATCCAGGTATCTAATTACTGCTTCTCTGAACTTTTCTCACTTTGACTAATGTCTAAATTTACAGCTTTTTTAATTTCACATTATAAAACAAAATCTACCTCCTGTTAATATATATATATATATATATTTCTTCTTCGAGGATGTGGGTCCCTGCAATTGCACCAGAGGTGGTAGCCCTAATATATATATATATATATATATATATATATATATATATATATATATATATATATATATATATATATATATATATATATATATATATATATAAATCTTATTTCCGTCTGTCTATTCTTATATTCGGGGAATGGGGAAGGTGCATCAGGAAAATATGTTGTTTGGCTTGAGTGTGGTAAAAGCGTCTCCCGCTAACAATGGCCGCCGCTAACAATGACCGGAGATAGTTCCTCTTTCTCCGCTCATCGATTCCCCCCCCCCCCCCCACCCCTCCCCCTAGCATGCTGTTGACGTGTCTGGGAAAGGAAGCGTCTTGGATCGTTTCAGCCCTCAGCACCGTCGACACTAATTGAATTACTTGATTAAATATCTATGTGTCTCTAAATGGAATTGTCTGATTGTCTGTCAATATGTCAGAGGTTAGAAGCCAGATGCTTGGGGCTAGTTTCACTAAATTTTTTCAACAATATATGCTGTTAGGTATGTGATAAATATGAAGGGGCCCGGGATAGGCGTCAAGGAAAAGGATGCCATGTGACACTGTGTTAAACTTATCCCCAAGAGGCATTTCGAAATGAGAGAGAGAGAGAGAGATAGAGAAAGAGAGAGAGAGAGAGAGAGAGAGAGAGAGAGAGAGAGAGAGAGAGAGAGAGAGAGAGAGAGAGAGAGAGAGAGAGAGAGAGAGAGAGAGAGTTAAGCTAGGCTTAACCTAGCTCAAAAGGCAGCCAGGAAACTGACAGCCTTACGGCGCATCTCACACCTTCTTGACAGCAAGGGCTGCAAAACTTTATATGAAACATAAGTTCGCTCTCATTTAGAGTATGTATTCATTTCCTGGATCACCTGCCCCCCCCCCCCTCCATCATTCACCAGACTGTTGGAGAAAGTGGAGAGAGACGGGCAAAAAAGGCTCATCTCTAGTCTTGAACAAGTCTGGTGGTAACGGTCTGAACATCAGAGCCTGCAGCACCGTCGTGCCGTTAGTGGTCTTATGGTTTTGTACAAGGCCAACATCCTCAAAGTTCCGCACCTGGCCCAACACCGTGGACTACAAGTAGTTGCCACCCGTAGCACTAGGCTCTCAACCTTCAATAGTTTCATGCTGGAAGTGCCTTTCTCAAGAACATCACTCCATCAGTGATAATAAATTCTTAGGCTGACTCGCATCTGGAACTGGCTCGCTCAACAGGTTGATACACGGGAGATCAGGTCAACTGATCACATGAAGGCTCTGGCACATAGTTGGCTACAGGCTCATCCTCTTCCTTATATGATTATTATCTAAGGTTGTTATTGAGTTGGAGGGGCGTGTTCCATTATAAAACAAGAGGGTAAGAGTTAAGATTATCAATGAGAGGGAAAAGCTCTATAATCATTATAACAGGAGTCAGGAGTCGTCCTCTCTTTCTACCCACCTGTCAAAAAGAGCTCTTCAATTCGTTTTCTGTGAAGTATTCAATGAGGACTTTGTTGGCTCTATTTTTAATCCATTGCTGAATGCATTCATCTCGGGGAAGGGGGGGAGGTAAGGAATTAAATGTCGTAATATCGAGTCTAAATATAAGTATTAAGTTGTATGGTAATTATGTACACAATCAGAAGCTTACAGCTATATCTGGCCACATGTATTGTTGCTGTTGATACACAGTTGTAAGTTTTAAGGGATTGTTACAATTTACAATGTATCACGGCAGGCTGTCCTCACAGGTGACATGTATCACGGCAGGCTGTCTTCACAGGTGACATGTATCACGGCAGGCTGTCCTCACAGGTGACATGTATCACGGCAGGCTGTCCTCACAGGTGACATGTATCACGGCAGGCTGTCCTCACAAGTGACATGTATCACGGCAGGCTGTCCTCACAGGTGACATGTATCACGGCAGGCTGTCCTCACAGGTGACATGTATCACGGCAGGCTGTCCTCACAGGTGACATGTATCACGGCAGGGTGTCCTCACAAGTGACATGTATCACGGCAGGCTGTCTTCACAGGTGACATGTATCACGACAGACTGTCCTCACAGGTGACATGTATCACGGCAGGCTGTCTTCACAGGTGACATGTATCACGGCAGGCTGTCCTCACAGGTGACATGTATCACGGCAGGCTGTCCTCACAAGTGACATGTATCACGGCAGGCTGTCTTCACAGGTGACATGTATCACGACAGACTGTCCTCACAGGTGACATGTATCACGGCAGGCTGTCTTCACAGGTGACATGTATCACGGCAGGCTGTCTTCACAGGTGACATGTATCACGACAGACTGTCCTCACAGGTGACATGTATCACGGCAGGCTGTCTTCACAGATGACATGTATCACGACAGACTGTCCTCACAGGTGGCATGTATCACGGCAGGCTGTCCTCACAGGTGACATGTATCACGGCAGGCTGTCCTCACAAGTGACATGTATCACGGCAGGCTGTCCTCACAGGTGACATGTATCACGGCAGGCTGTCTTCACAGGTGACATGTATCACACCAAGTTGTCCTCACAAGTAACATGGGCTACAAATTGCTTTGAATGAGGTTGCTATGTCCTGATTTAGGTTTTTAAATGACGTTCTTATATTTACGGATGTTATCCTGTTTATGTGTGTCTCAGGTATCAGTATTCGAACTTTCAAAACCTATTCTCAAAACTTTCTCTTCTGTTTCTTGTAGCTACCTTCCCCTTCTGGTGTAGATGCCTTCTGGTCTTCTCTCTCCCTTTCCCATCTCCATTACTGTACACTTGTTGGGATTGAATTCCAGTAACCATTTGCTTGATCGCTCCTGCAGTTTGTCAAGATCCTCCTGTAAATTCCTGCAGTTCTGTGTTTTTACATTCCTTGTCATCTTTGTGTCATCAGCATACTTTGACATGTACGCGCTCACTCCCTCGGGTAGATCGCTCGCAATTAGGAACAGCAGTGGTTCCAGGACCGAGCCTTATAGGACTCCTCTTGTTACATCCTTCCAGCTTGAAACCGCCTCACTGACTGTGGCTCTTTGCTTTCTGTCCTTCAGATATTTTCCTATCCAGTTCCCAGTTATCCCAGTCTGCTTCTCCATCTTGTACACCAGTCTCTCAAATGCCTTTTTGGCAAGCTATTAAAAAAGACAGTCTGCCAGCCTTCGTCCTGTTTTATTTAAGTAACCCTGTCATAAAACTCAATTGAATAATTGACAACAATACCGGTCTGTAATTGAGTGCCTTCTTTATGTCCCCATTTTATAATATTGAGACTATGCATTTTTCCAGATTTCTGGGAGATTTCCCGTCTCAAGTATTTTATTAAAAACGGTAAATGATGTGTGAGAAAGTTCATGTGCAACCTTTTTCCTTCCCCTCCACTCTTCTACTCAACAGTGAGGTGAAACGAGCTGGGTAACCATCCCCCCCCCCCTTGTCAACAGCCCCGTACAATCACCCTGCCAGAAGAAGAATTGCCCCCCCCCCCCCAACATTAGGCTTGGCAGAGGCACCGAGTTAAGAATTTCATTATAACTAGGCTAGTGGATTACGTTATTCAGCCCCTCCCCCCACCCCCCAACCCCCCCCCCCAACCCCCACCCCCACAAACACCCCCCCACCCCCACCCTCCCCCCCCCCACCCCACCCCCGCCGACAGACACTGACAATTAGCAAGTAATGGATTGTTACCACAAACTTGCCAACATACAACTTTTATCCTATTTTGGAAGACGATATTTGGCACCTTTTGGCTTCAATTTTTCAGAACAGGTTTGGATTTTTTTTTTTCCTTCCGTGGAGACTTTCTTCAGATGATGTCTAACTTTCGAAATTTTTTCTTCTGTTTCTCAGAAGACAAAATTAGCGTTTGAATTTTTAAATTTTTTAATCACAACGTATTTTACGAATTTTCCAACTTTTTTTTTTTATGAGATAATAAGACTTGATCTGTTCTTTTCAGAAGTTATTTAGACCTTTTATGTTATTGTTTCTTTTTCACAAGATATTTTAGGAATATCTTTCAGGCGATATATTTTTAAAGATGTCATCATATTGATATAATTATATATATAATGTTATGTCATAACATATTATATTTTTTAATTTAAGATTCATTATATATATTTTAGTCCATCACATGAGTAATTATATTATACTAATTTATATTTAATCGTTCTTAACAATATAAACTGCTGTTTTTCCACCATGTTTATGACATGCGTGACACCACTCACAGGAAGCGTGACACCACTCACAGGAAGCGTGACACCACTCACAGGGAGCGTGACACCACTCACAGGAAGCGTGACACCACTTACAGGGAGCGTGACACCACTCACAGGAAGCGTGACACCACTTACAGGGAGCGTGACACCACTCACAGGAAGCGTGACACCACTCACAGGAAGCGTGACACCACTCACAGGAAGCGTGACACCACTTACAGGGAGCGTGACACCACTCACAGGAAGCGTGACACCACTCACAGGAAGCGTGACACCACTCACAGGAAGCGTGACACCACTTACAGGAAGCGTGACACCACTTACAGGAAGCGTGACACCACTTACAGGAAGCGTGACACCACTTACAGGAAGCGTGACACCACTTACAGGAAGCGTGACACCTCTTACTGGAAGCGAGACACCACTTACAGGAAGCGTGACACCACTTACAGGAAGCGAGACACCACTTACAGGAAGCGTGACACCACTTACAGGAAGCGTGACACCACTTACAGGAAGCGTGACACCACTTACAGGAAGCGTGACACCACTCACAGGAAGCGTGACACCACTTACAGGAAGCGTGACACCACTTACAGAAAGCGTGACACCACTTACAGAAAGCGTGACACCACTTACAGAAAGCGTGACACCACTCACAGGGAGCGTGACACCACTCACAGGAAGCGTGACACCACTCACAGGAAACGTGACACCACTTACAGAAAGTGTGACACCACTCACAGGAAGCGTGACACCACTTACAGGAAGCGTGACACCACTTACAGAAAGCGTGACACCACTTACAGAAAGCGTGACACCACTTACAGGAAGCGTGACACCACTTACAGAAAGCGTGACACCACTTACAGAAAGCGTGACACCACTTACAGGAAGCGTGACACCACTCACAGGAAGCGTGACACCACTTACAGAAAGCGTGACACCACTTACAGAAAGCGTGACACCACTTACAGAAAGCGTGACACCAATCACAGGGAGCGTGACACCACTTACAGGAAGCGTGACACCACTCACAGGGAGCGTGACACCACTTACAGGAAGCGTGACACCACTTACAGAAAGCGTGACACCACTCACAGGAAGCGTGACACCACTCACAGGAAGCGTGACACCACTTACAGAAAGCGTGACACCACTTACAGAAAGCGTGACACCACTTACAGGAAGCGTGACACCACTCACAGGGAGCGTGACACCACTCACAGAAAGCGTGACACCACTTACAGAAAGCGTGACACCACTCACAGGAAGCGTGACACCACTCACAGGAAGCGTGACACGACTTACAGAAAGCGTGACACCACTTACAGGAAGCGTGACACCACTCACAGGAAGCGTGACACGACTTACAGAAAGCGTGACACCACTTACAGGAAGCGAGACATAACTTATGTTTTATTAATCATAAGTTTTTATCCAACTTACGATATACTTCGTCTGATTACCGAGAAGTTTCGTGCGAAATATGAGGTGATTCGATCTACTTATGAGAAGTTATCCGGCTGCAATAATGTTGTTATCTCATTGGATATCTCTCACACTTGGTACCAAAGTTTTTTTCCCTAACTTCGAAATGCTCCTCTCGTCGAAATGCTCCTCTTATCGAAATGCTCCTCTTGTGTGCTCGCTTAACCCTCATACTTCACGTTATTTGTTCTTGCATGAGAAGGGCTCGTCATTTGTTGACATTTGAAGAGTGTCATGGAATATGTATTTACGAACCTTGCACTGTGAGAAGCAGCTGAGGGCAGGGCAAAGGGGGGAAGTGACAATAGTACTGAATCGAAAGTCTTACTTTCTACTAGGAAAGTAAAGACTTTCCTAGTAGATATTTTGTTCTAAGATGAGCTTTCTGACATTAAATAAAGGATATAGCACAAGAGAAAGGGGTATAGAGGCAGTGGGTGTGAGGTTTTTGAGGTGGGGATGTATATGTTGAGGTCTGTGTGGTGAGGTGATAGGTGAGTGAGGTTTGTATTCACCTAGTTGTATTCACCTAGTTGTGTTTGCGGGGGTTGAGCTTTGCTCTTTCGGCCCGCCTCTCAACTGTCAATCAACTGTTTACTAACTACTTTTTTTCACACCACACACACACACACACACACACACACACCAGAAAGCAGCCCGTGACAGCTGACTAACTCCCAGGTACCTATTTACTGCTAGGTAACAGGGGCATTCAAGGTGAAAGAAACTTTGCCCATTTGTTTCTGCCTCGTGCGGGAATCGAACCCGCGCCACAGAATTACGAGTCCTGTGCGCTATCCACCAGGCTACCAGGCCCCACAGGTGAGGTGATAACTGGGTGAAATGTGTGAAGTGAGGGGATGAGTGAGGTCTGTGAGGTGAGGAACGTAGAATGTACTTTTGTTGTCTAAATATTGGATCACAGTGAACTAACCGACGAATAGAGATTGAATGCACCCGGGGAGTTGGACTCCGCCCTTTCAAATTTCAATCAAATGTC